AATACCTTGTTAATAACTATTTAAAAATCCAAGTAAAAAGAAGTGATTCCACAAAATCATTGACTATCTAATATTAGTGATGGCAGAATCTTGCCTGTGTAGAAGTTGTCCATCTGTGAAAGAGAGGAAAGATAAAAACAATAAAGTTCATAAGTAGCAATTTACAAAAGTCGAACAAGAATGTGGTTAGAGATTTTATAACGAAGACACATTAGATGAAGAATGAAGATATTAATTGATTACCTTGATGTAAGAATGTGGCCTAACAGGATGGGCCATGGGTCCAGCATCCTGAAAATTTGGAAAAGGATGCAAGTGAATGAAGTATTGCACATTTGCACTGAAAGGGTTAATATTCTAGAAATTGATACTCTTAACGTACCTAGAGTAATTGTACTATGACCAAAAAGAGAAATGATTAGATGTCAACTGAATGTATCAGGAAAAAAGAATGAACCTGGGGAAACTGATAATTACGAAGCTTTGAAACATCACCAATCCGCTTTACAGTACGGCTTCCCATGTCAGATGAAAATTCCTACCAAAAACAAATTATCCCTCACACTCACATACTCAAAGTTTTACTTTCATGGAACATGTAGAACCTGATAAGTAACAAGTTATACCTGATCACGAAAAACAGTGAGACCCTCCTTTAGACTGAGCTGAAACCAGTCACGGCAGGTAACTCTGCAATTCAGCTCAGAATAAATTTGAGTTTCAATAATACTTGCTATTTTGAATATAATGATGCTTATTCAATGTTCTCGTTGTGCTTATTAGGACTAATCAAAAGTTAAAATCATACCAAAAATAGATCACAAATATCATGTTCATGTTACTAATTAAGGAAACAGTTAAAGAGACACAAATGGCAAAATAGATAGCCAACCTGTTACCAGTCCAGTTGTGAAAATACTGCATAATACACAAGAAATAAAATCCCAGTCATTATAAATGAGATTCATCCAAAGTAAAGGTGAGAAAAAATCATGACTCCTCTTTGACTTTTATTACAGACCTCATGTCCAATAACACCCAAAATTGCAGCATAATCTGCATCAGTAGCAGTTTCTGGAGAAGCCAAAACAAGCTTGGAATCGAAAATCTATATAGGACAAAAAGAGATGAAATTTTAGTAGGAAGCAACAACAAATTATATTCAACAGCAATGAATAAGCCAGAAAGCATACATTCAAACTCTTGTTTTCCATGGCTCCCCTGACACCAATCAACAAATAAGCTATATCAGCAATTCTTAAGGATGCAAACTGAATACAATAACTCAGAGAAGCAAAGAAATAGCACATATATGATCACATATTTCATTTTTAAAAATGAAGCTCACATGAAGTCTGGAACAACAACAATATTGAAGAGATCCAGGTCATACTCAAGACCGAAGACCTGCAGGATACGAAGAGTCATAAAAGGAGCAACAAGACAAACTGAACATCATCTCCAAAAATCTGGTGAAGAATGAAAATACTAACATCCTCATCCCACTTCATAGCTGCCTTAAGTGAATACATCGCATGTGCAGTCTTTGGTACATCTTGTGCTGGGGTCCAGATCCTCAGGGACACTTGCCTTCCAGAGCGAGTAACAAATATATCATCCCTGCTCTCCAGTGGTCCAGCAACTAAAGCAAATAAATAGCATGGTTTCTTAAAGGGATCCTCCCATAGAGCATAATGCCTGCCACCCTGTAATGGAAACAAAAATTATAATAACTAAAAGACAACAATTAACCA